CGGGGCCACTGTTTACCTTGATCTCCCAGGAAACACGACGGACCACTGTGGAGAGAGCGGAATGGATGTCTACCCTTCAAGGCAGATGAGCTTGAGTCTTATATCATTTTATATTATTAAAGGGAAGGGCATAAAAAGTCAGAGTGCCATATCTATTTCAGTCTGCTGCTTGGGTACCGCTCAGAAAATCTTAAACTGATATTTGTCCCTCTAAGAGTGCTTGAGGGAATTTTAAATTCTAGCACAGTGAGACACTCATCACTGCTTGGGGATTGTATTTGACATTGTTTTAGATGGTGCATGTTACCACGGTAATATCATAAATAACATCTAAACAGGGAAAGCAGACGTTGTACGGATGACCGGGTTTATGAAAACTCTTGGCGTAGATCATTAAAACCGGTTGAGAGTGTCAGCAATTATAAGATCCACATTAAAATGCAAATGCTCTTTTGATTCATTAGAAAATTAACCCCAAGGTGATGTGCTTGCCAGGGGTCGAGAATTTAAAATCGGAGAATAATTATATTTCCACACTTTAGAAGGTATTTATTTACTTACACGGACAGGACACTGGTTACTACTGCCGATGGAAAAGTGGCCTGCCATTGGTCACTTTCCCTCATTCCAGGTTCATGTTATTAACCGTCCAACCTCGACTTGAGGACTCACCCAACACCCCGTCGTCTCCGTGGCTTTTAATCATCATCCCTCTACCCCGTCTCGGTCACCCCCTGCCATGATTACACCTTCGATGTTACCATTAGCAGGACAGTGTTGGATCGACTCCGCTTTCAGCTCATGTGCAACATGACTGTGATTTTATTAAATGCATGTCCTTCTGTCCACACACGTGGGCACCTCTATTTAATTAGGTCTTTGATCTTTTATATACAAGGGACTATTACTCAGCCATAAAAAAGAATAGTCTTACCATTTGCAACGATGTGGATGGACCTAGAGGGTATTGTGCTAAGTGAAATAAGCCAGGACAGAGGAAGACACATACCATATGGTTTCACTTCTAGGTGGAAATCTATAAAACAAAGAGCAGAAACAGATCAGAGACACTGAGAATAAACCTGATGGCTGCCAGATGGGATGGGGGTTGAGGAACTGGGTGAAAAAGACGAAGGGATTAAGAAGTACAAATTGAGAGTTATAAAAGCGTCACAGGGATGTGAAAGTACAGCATAGGGCAGTGATCTTGAACCTATGACACGCGTGTCAGAGGTGACACGCGAACTCATTTTTTTGGTTGATTTTTCTTTGTTAAATGGCATTTAAATATATAAAATAAATATAAAAATATATTAAGTCTTTGTTTTACTATGGTTGCAAATATCAAAAAATTTCTATATGTGACACGGCACCAGAGTTAAGTTAGGGTTTTTCAAAATGCTGACACGCCCAGCTCAAAAGGTTCGCCATCCCTGGCATAGGGACTATAGTCAATAATTGTAATAACTACGTATGGAGCCACGTGGGCACTAGACTTCTGGAGGGATCACTTCATAAATTATGTAAATGTATAACCAGTATACTGTACACCTGAAACTAATACAAAACAATATTGAATGTCAACTGTAATTGAAATAAAAATTTTAAATTTAAAAAAAAATGACAATTTTCAAAAATAGTAAATTAACATTCACCACCTAAATTCCATAATCGTTAAGGTCTGCCACATCTACTGTTAATATTGCTGTCCTCTCTGAAAGTCAGGCAAGTGCTTCATTGGGGTGTGGAATTTTAGAGTGAGGAATTGGGGTAACCATCTCCTCCAGGGCTGGCACATTAGTTTCACTGAACCCCTTCGCAAAGACACTGCAGCCCTCGCTGGTCTGGCTCAGTGGATAGAGCGTCGGCATGCGGACTGAAGGGTCCTGGGTTTGATTCCGGTCAAGGGCACATGCTGGGGTTTCGGGCACATCCCCAGTGGGGGGTGTGCAGGAAGCGGCTGATCGATGTTTCTCTCTCATCGATGTTTCTAACTCTCTATCCCTTTCCTTTCCTCTCTGGAAAAAATCAATAAAATATAATTTTTTAAAAAAAAGAATCAACCAATGAGGGTATAAATAACTGGAAAAACAGATCTGTGTTTCTCTTTCCCTCCCTGTCCCTCCCTCTCTAAAATTAAAACAACAACAACAACACACAAAAATAACACTTCTCTGAAGGGGCTAGTTCTGCCTGGAACATTATCACTTCAGACCTAAGTGAAATGATTTTACCTGTAAATCCTTTGCTACAAACATAGGAGTTCTTCCCCAGCTGATGTGAGTGTCCGGTGTGGGAGGCAGCCAATCGATGTATCTCTCTCACACTGATGTTTTTCTCTCTCTGCCTCTCCCCTCCCTTCCACTCTCTCTCTCCAAAAAAAAAAAAAAATCAATGGAAAATTATCCTTGGTGAGGATTTTAAACAAAAGAAAAAAAAAAGGGAGAGGTCAGAATGAATCTGGGATGTGGATTGAAATTTGAAGTGTTGGAGTGGACTCAGGTTTTCATTTTATTTTTTTATATTTTTTTAATAATCATTTGTACTTGTTGGCTATTTTATTATTTTTTATATATGTTTTATTGATTTTTTACAGGGAGGAAGGGAGAGGGATAGAGAGTTAGAAACATCGATGAGAGAGAAACATCGATTAGCTGCCTCTTGCACGCCCCCTACTGGGGATGTGCCTGCAACCAAGGTACATGCCCTTGACCGGAATCGAACCTGGGACCCTTCAGTCCGCAGGCCGACATTCTATCCACTGAGCCAAACCAGTTAGAGTTAGGGCTGAACTCGGGTTTTTAATATAGAGGGACAGATGTCAAAATAAACAGGAGAGAGAGAGAGAGAGAGAGAGAGAGAATTTCCTAGCATTGTGCACTGGGAGGGTCTGGGAGAGGCAATACCCCAGTAACAACAGACATGCTTGGCACTTAGGTCTTGTTTTCTAAATTGTATTCTCCACTAAAAGAAAAAACTGGAAACAACGAATGAACAAACAAGGCAAACAAAACTCAACAGACGCAGACAAAGTACAGTGGTTACCAGAGGGACAGGAGGTGGGGATAGTACAGGGTAAAGGGAGCCAAATACTGTATATGGTGACGGAAGAGTTGCCTTTGGGTGGCAAACACATGGCATCATCCAGCTGGAGTGTCATAGAATTGTACTTGATGCCTGGAAAGGATCGAGCCCGCAGCCCGGGCATGTGCCCTGACCAGGAATCGAACCGGGACCTCCTGGGTCCTAAATCGATGCTCAACCACTGAGTCACACTGCATCTCAAATCAATGTGTGTTGCCTCTCCGTGTCACCTTTTATGTTTAGGTTAGCGATGCTTACTCCTTTTCTCTTCCTGATTCCATCTCTCCCTAGTCCAGGGGTCCTCAAACTTTAAAAACAGGGGGCCAGCTCACTGTCCCTCAGACCATTGGAGGCCGGACTATAGTTTAAAAAACAACTATGAACAAATTCCTATGCACACTGCACATATCTTATTTTGAAGTAAAAAAACAAAACGGGACCAAATACAATATTTGTATTTGCATGTGGCCCGCGGGCCGTAGTTTGAGGACCCCCGCCCTAGTCATTTATTTTGTGGCCTAGGAATGTGTGGAAGGATTCTCTTTGCTTTGGAGGGTGTGGTACAGATGCCAGGGAGGGAGGCCTGAAGAGCCATTGCTGTTAACGGCGAAGCCAGAGGGAGATTTATGAACAGCCTGACCCAGCTCAGCCCGCCTCCAGCCGGACACGGTCACCCCGTGCAAAGGGCTGCTCTGGGGCTCAGGGCGGTGCTGTGCGCTTCACTCCACTCGGCCCCACAGAGCAGTGTGTCTGCAGTGCCTGCCCGTGTGTGGGATTAGCTGTGCACGCACACGGCTGGTGATGGCCTTCCCCCGAGTCTGTGGGGAAGGAGGTTGATAACAGAGTCTGGGAGGTAGTGGTCATAGCAGGGGCCAGAAAATAGTATGGAGCCCTTCTGTGTCTCATTTTTAATTTGCGATCATGGATCTTGCAGTGAACTTTTCTTGTCTGTTTTTTTAAAAAAAGATTTGTTAGCTCTAGCTGGTTTTGCTCAGTGGATAGAACATCGGCTGTGGACTGAAGGGTCCGGGTTTGATTCCGGTCAAGGGCACGTACCTCGGTTGCAGGCTCCTCCCAGGCCCGGGCCCTGGTCGGGGCTCATGCAGGAGGCAGCCAATCTATCTGTTTCTCTCACATCGATGTTTCTCTCTGTCTTTCCCTCTCTCTTCCACTCTCTCTCAGAATCAATGGGAAAATATCCTCGGGTGAGGATTAAAAATAAAAATATTTTTTTAGCCCTAGCTGGTTTGGCTCAGTGGGTAGAGCATCGGCCCACAGACTGAAAGGTCTGGGTTCGATTCTGATCGAGGGCACGAAACTCAGTTGCCGGCTTGATCCCCAGCCCTGGTTGGGGCACGTGCAGGAGGCAGCCAGTCACTGTGACATCGATGTTTCTCTCTCTGTGTCCCTCCCCCTTCCTTCCACTCTCTCTAAAAATCAATAGGGAAATATCCTTGGGTGAGGATTAACAATAAATAAATAAATAACTTTTTAGAGGGGGGGGGGATTTTAAATGGATTTTTTGAGAGAGTGGAATGGAGAGGGGGAGAGAGAGAAACATCAATATGAGAGTGGAACATGGATGGGCCGCCTCCTGCACATCCCTGGCAGACCAGGCATCGAACCAGCAACCTTTCGGTGCCTGGGACGATGCCCAATGAACTGAGCCACGCCAGCCAGGGCTTGGCTGCTTTTGATGAGAAAGAAGAAGAGCTGACTGGTCCGGAAGTGTTGATGCAGCGGCTGAATTATTTAAGAGGCTCGCACATCCGGTGTGGGCGTTTGAAGGGTGTGTTGAGGAATGAGCAGGAAGGTGAGGGAAGTCACTGTTTCCCAGAGGGTTCCGAGCAGCTGCCCGGTCCTGCGTCCTGGGAGCGGCAGCCTCCTCACTCTCCTCTCCCTCCTCTTCTCCGCAGTCCCAGCAGAGGTGCATCGTCATCTTCGCCCTGGTCTGCTGCTTCGCCATCCTGGTCGCCTTGATCTTCTCGGCCGTGGACATCATGGGAGAGGATGAGGACGGACTCTCGGAAAAAAACTGCCAAAATAAATGTCGGTAAGAGGTAACAGACAAAAATTCTCTCTTAGGGGGCGGGCGAGAGAGCCAGGGGGCCCTGGACAGTGGAGAGAGGTCACAGCCACACGTGGTCACCTGAGTTCACTCGCCTCTGGGTCCAACTGAGACTCTCATTTCGACAAGGGGAGAAAAATGAGTCGTGATTTCATTCACTTTACAGTTTGGGCAGGTCCTGTGCAGGGGGGTGGGGGACAGAATGACAGTCTGCACCCGTCCGCATTTCTGCATCACGGCCTCTGCTTGTAAGGTTCTGGTCTGTTCTGTGACGGCCAAAAAAGGGGACCCCAAGTGGACGGGACAGTGTGCTAATTGTTCCATCAGATGGAAGTCAAAAAACACCATCATCTTCATGCCCAGCCGGTGAGGCTCAGTGGTTGAGCATCAACCTATGAACCAGGAGGTCACGGTTCGATTCCCAGTCAAGGGCACATGTCCGGGTTGTGGGCTCGATCCCCAGTAGGGGGTGTGCAAGAGATAGCCGATTCATGATTCTCTCTCATCGTGGATGTTTCTAGCTCTCTCTCTCTCTCCCTCTCCCTTCCTCTCTGAAATCAATAAAAATATATTTTTTTAAAAAACAGAGGTCAACCACAAAATGACAAGTTACTATGAGTTAGCGCTTATAATGAATTTTAATGATAATTTTCCCCCGTGGGAAGCATCAGTCTAACTAAGTGCCTCTCCTTTCTGGCTTAAAATCAACCACCCGGTAACATGCATGTGAGTTTTTATCCTGACTTTTCTGGGGTCAAACGTATGGCACACACAAAAAATGTCTGGAAAAAGCCATAGGAGTTTGTTTTCTTTGCAGCTCAGGATATATGAGAGTCTAGTTACCAGGCAACTGTATTATATGGAAAACAAAGGATGCAGGAGAGAAATCCGTACACGTTATAGATTTATTTCGTCATGTTCAGAAGGCGTCCCTCAGTATATTTACTTCCCAGATTGGATTTGGGAGAAGAATTGTATTGGGATCATAAAAGCAATAGAACAATAGCAATGGTCATTCCCTTCTCCCTGAAAGCTCCCAACATAATGTGGACAAGGGGCCAGTGACTCCCTACAGGGGAATGGCTCTGTCCTCTCTCTCACCTCACCCTGCAATGACTACTGCTGATGCCCAAGCCAGTTTTGCTCAGTGGCTAGAGCGTCAGCCTGTGGACTGCAGGGTCCCAGGCTCAATCCCAGTCAAGGGCACATGCCCCGGTAGGCGGGCTCGGTACCCAGTAGGGGGTGTGCAGGAGGCAGCCGATCTATGATTCTCTCTCATCGTTGATGTTTCTAGCTCTCTCTCTCCCTCTCCCTTCCTCTCTGAAATCAATAAAAATATACTTAGAAGAAGAAAAAATAAAAAGACTACTGAGTACTTTGAATTTTCTAAAGGCCAGACTATCATAACTGTCTCAAGACAACACCCAGTACTTTTTAGCACACATTGCCAGCTATAGGAAAGAGGGGGCCTTACAATTATGTCCCGTACACGTTGGGGGAAGCTATCATTGGATCTAATTTTTACTTTGAACTCGTGCACCTGGCATTTGGGTCTGGTTACTTCTTCCTTCTGGGTCAGTAACTCCACGGATGACTCCACACAGCGCCCCCCTCCTTCCAGAACATACTCTTCAATGACCATCCATCCTCCTGGTTCCTTTCCCCTGGGTAGTGGGGTCACCACCTGGCTACGAGGTGCCATCCCTCTACGCGTCGCCTTTTCTAGAACTGCAGCCCCTCCAGGTCTTCCTGTCTTCTACAGCCTCTTCCCCTGTGTCCCGTTTCTGTCCTACCTTCTCGGCCTCACCACAGGCACTTCCTGTGTGTCTGTCCTTGTCCCGGGGACCTTCTGCTTGTTGGGCAACGGTGGGTCCTGGTACCCCACTGGGGTCCCAGTCGCCAGTGGGACAGTCTATTGTTCCACCGTCTTCTCTCAGTCATCCTCATGTGAACCTGATGGGATTTTCTTGCATCGTCCACCCCCTCCTTATCATTGTAGACAACATCACGTTCTCCCTGGCCGGCGTGGCTCAGTGGTTGAGCGTCAACCTAGGAACCAGGAAGTCACGGTTGGTTTTCCAGTCAGGGCACATGCCCGGGTTGGGGGCTTGGTCCACAGTGTAGGGCGTGCAGGAGGCAACCGATCCATGATTCTGTCTCATCATTGATGTTTCTATCTCTCTCTCCCTCTACCTTCCTCTCTGAAATCAATAAAAATATATGTATATTTTAAAAAGAAAGAAAACATCATGTTCTCACTTCCAGGATTCTCTCCACCTTCTTTGGTGCCTGGCTAACAGACCTCCCACCCCTCAGTCGCATCTCTTGCCACTGTCCTTAGTAACTAACATGTACTTCCCAACCCCCTAGCCTAGTGGTCGGCAAACTCGTTAGTCAGCAGAGCCAAATATCAACAGCACAACGATTGAAATTTCTTTTGAGAGCCAAATTTTTTAAACTTAAACTCTATAGGTAGGTACATTGTTATTAACTTAATTAGGGTGCTCCTAAGCTGGCCTTTGCTAAAAAACGTCCTCAATCTGATTGAGGCACGTTCGCTGAGGTCGGCCCCTTCCAACTCTCCCATCCCCACTTGTCTTGTATACTTGTTTCGTCTGTCTCCTTCCGTTCATCCTCTCTCTATGTCCAAACCATCTCAACATGCCTTTCTCAATCCTCGACACTGCATCTTCTTTCACTCCACAACATTCCCTAAAATTAACTTAATAAACTTTACTTAAAGTTGTAAGTCAACTTCGCACTGTACGTGCACGCCCGCACGTGGTATTTTGTGGAAGAGCCACACTCAAGGGGCCAAAGAGCCACATGTGGCTCTCGAGCCGCGGTTTGCCGACCACAGCCCTGGCCTTTCTGGTTGTAACCACCTCAGGTCAGTGCGATTAATATCTGCGTCACCTTTGCACCTGCCAGCAACTCCTCCAAGTCAGCCCCATGCAGGGAACGACCATGGACTTCGGTGTCAGAAAGATCTGGATTCACATCCACACGCTACCGCTTGCCAATCTGTAAACGTGGGCGAGACAGTAATCTCGTTATTTCATTCGTCTCCTGCTTGTGGAGCACCAAACCCCTGCAACGAGGAGGTACAATAGTTAGTGAGACCGTCATGGCAATACTCTGGTCAGACACTCTGTGGGCTGTCAGAGCAGACTCGGGGGCAGAGCTGACATCACAAAAAGCAAACCTGGCCTTGGACTCCGTTCTGCCCCTGCAGGGTTATGAAGAGTAGTTTAGTTTCATTTCCCTTAAAAATGGTAGATTAAAAAAAATCTATCTCACCAGGTTCTATGAGGCCATAGTAAGTTGTGGAAACCTATAACCTATCAAGAAACGCCTCCCGCCCTCGCCGGTGTGGCTCAGTGGATAGAGCGTCAGCCTGCGGACTGAAGGGTCCCAGGTTCGATTCCGGGCAAGGGCACATGCCCGGGTTGCGGGCTCAATCCCCAGTAGGGAGGCATGCGGGAGGCATGCAGGAGGCAGCCGATCAATGATTCTCTCTCATCATTGATGTTTCTCTCTCTCTCTCTCCCTCTCTAAATCAATAAAATAAAAAAGAGAAAGGCCTACCAAGCAATATGTAAATATTAACCCTCTCCTGTTCCTTTCAGAGTCAGAATCCCCCTCCTCCCTTCATAGCTGACTTTCTCTTCTTCCCACGTCCTTGCTTCTCCTGAATCAACTTCCTCCTGATTTTAGTTGGGGGCGGAGGGGGGGGAGGTAAACAGGGACCAAGCACAGGAGAACGGGGGCTATTTATTCGGAGCTTGTATCACGGTGGTCAGCCACCGTCCCCTGCGTCTGGCCAACTCTCAAAGGCAGGCGGAGGAGGGGGAAACCTTTATAGTAGCAAAGAGGGAAGGTTCAGGTGCCCTGACTTGAGGCTGTTGGCGTGAGGAAGCTGGCGGCCTGCCCACCAGCAGCGCGGCTTCCTGGGTGACGGGCTGGGAGTGCCTGTTTGACTCGGTGGTTCCCAGGTCGGAAGTGGGGACAGAAATTAGGGAAGCTGGCACTTGCTAAGCAAGCATGGCCATTCGGGTTCTAGAAGTCACGGCTCAGCCCTCTAGATGATGACTCGGGAAAGTAGCCTGACTCAAAGCAGGCTGGCTCTCCTGGCTGGTTGTTCTAGGTAAGAGGTTGGCTCCCTGGGCAGATTGATATTCTTTGTGGTCAGAGTCCTGTTTTATATACACTAGAGCGCATGAAATTCGTGCAAGGGGCTCGACCCTCGCAGCCGCAGCAGCTTGCCTCGGCCCTCGCAGCCCTGGCTTCATCTAGAAGGTCATTCAGAAGGACGTCCGGAAGGTCGTTTGGCTGTCCGGTCTAATTAGCATATTGCACTTTTATGATTATAGGTGGTCTGGTCCATCGGCATCTGCAGTCTCCCAGTTTCTGGAACATCCTCCTGGACCCCAGCCCCTTCTGTTTAATGTGCAATGTTTTCATTTTCTTGTTATCCAGTTGCTCCTTCCGGCAGCCTCCTCAGTCCTTCCCCGGGTCACTTGCCTCCCTGGAGCTTTTGCTTCAGCTGCCAGTTCACAAACAGGCTGACTCCTGGCTCCACCTATCCGTGTCCTCGGGGCAGCCTGGCCATGGCTCCAGTCCCTCAACAGAGGGGAGTGGGTTTCTCTGTTCTTCAGTCCGAGGTTCCTTTTGGCAGGGATGCCCCTGGGAAAGGAGGGGAGACAATTTGGGGGTGCACCCCAGTGAGTACATGGGCACTGAGGTAGACCTGAAGGGGAAGCGCCCACCTGTTCTGCCCAGCATGCCAGTCCCAACACAGCCCTCTGTGCTGGAATGCCACCCATCACCTCACTCCTTTCCTGGCACTGACTTCCCCAGACTCCACCTCCAGGTGGCGCCAGTGAGCACGTGCCGCTCAGCTTCCCATTACCCTTTCCTTGGCCTCCTGGCTTTCTGTTCCTGCGTTTCCCCTTAAGGTGCCCGCCGCCTGCTGAGATCTTATT